TTGCGCTTGATCAGGACAGTCATCACGCCCCCTGCCGTCTCCAGCCCCAGTGACAGTGGAGCCACATCCAGCAGCAGCAGGTCCTGTACCTTCTCAGACTTGTCCCCCATTAGGATGGCTGCCTGCACCGCAGCCCCATATGCTACTGCTTCATCAGGGTTGATGCTCTTGTTGAGATCACGTCCATTAAAGTGGTCCTGAAGCAGCCGCTGCACCTTGGGTATGCGGGTGGACCCCCCTACTAAAACAATGTCATGGATTTTAGCCTTATCCATCTTGGCATCCCGAAGAGCTTTTTCTACAGGCTCCAGGGTGCCCCTAAATAGGTCTGCACACAACTCTTCAAATCGAGCTCTGGTGATGGATGTGTAGAAGTCAATGCCTTCATAAAGTGAATCAATTTCTAGGTTGGCCTGGGTGCTGGACGACAGAGTCCTCTTGGCCCTCTCACAGGCGGTGCGCAGCCGCCTTACGGCTCGCTTATTCTGGCTGATGTCCTTCTTGTGCTTCCTCTTGAACTCTTCTACGAAGTGGCTCACAAGCCTGTTGTCAAAGTCCTCCCCACCCAGGTGGGTGTCCCCAGCAGTGGCCTTTACCTCAAAAATTCCATCATCTATGGTCAGAATTGACACATCAAATGTGCCTCCACCCAGATCAAAGATCAAGACATGTCGTTCTCCTTGACCTCCTTTATCTAAACCATAGGCAATGGCAGCAGCTGTGGGCTCATTGATGATTCTTAGCACATTGAGTCCAGCAATCACACCTGCATCCTTAGTGGCCTGACGTTGAGAGTCATTGAAATAGGCTGGCACAGTAATCACTGCATTGGTGATAGGGTGGCCCAAAAAAGCCTCAGCAGTCTCCTTCATCTTAGTCAGTACCATCGAAGAGATTTCCTCAGGGTAGAAAGCTTTATTCTCCCCTTTGTAGGACACAAGTACTTTGGGCTTGCCTCCTTCATTGATCACTTGAAAAGGCCAAAGTTTCATATCTGATTGCACAACAGGATCATTAAATTTCCTGCCAATCAGACGTTTGGCATCAAAGACAGTGTTCTGGGGATTCATGGCCACCTGGTTCTTGGCTGCATCCCCGATGAGCCGCTCAGTGTCTGTGAAGGCCACGTAGCTGGGGGTGGTGCGGTTGCCCTGGTCGTTGGCGATGATCTCCACCTTGCCATGCTGGAACACCCCCACGCAGGAGTAGGTGGTGCCCAGGTCGATGCCTATGGCGATTCCCTTGGCAGTAGCCATGGTTCTCTGAGGCCTATGGAGAAAGAATGAGATATGGTTTTGGCAGATTGCTTTTCAATGTTATTTTTTTTTTTGAGATAGGGTTTTTCTTTGTCATCTAGATTGGAATGCAGAGATGCAGTCATGGCTCACTGCAGCCTTGAACTCCTGGGCTTCAGAGATCTTCCTGCCTCAGCCTCCAGAGTAGCTGGAGACATCATGCCTGGATAATTTTTTTTTTTGAGATGGAGTCTTGCTCTCTTGCCCAGGCTGGAATGCAGTGGTGAGATCTAGGCTCACTGCAACCTCGACCTCCTGAGTTCAAGCGATTCTCCTGTCAGCCTCCTGAATAGTTGGGATTACGGGGGCGCCACCATACCCGGCTAATTTTTGTGTTTTTAGTAGAGATGGGGTTTCAGTTTCATTATGTTGGCCAGGCTGGTCTTGAACTCCTGACCTCAGGTGATCCGCCTACCTTGGCCTCCCAAAGTGCTAGGATTACAAGAGTGAGCCACTGTGACCCACCATCTGCCTGGCTAATTTTTAAATTTTGTGTACAGATGGGGTCTCGCTATGTTGCTCAAGCTAGTCTCAAACTCCTAGGCTGAAACGATCCTCCTGCCCCAGCCTCCCCAAGTACTGGGATTATAGGAGTGAACACCTTACCTGGCCTATTTTTTATTATGGTAAAATACATGCAAAATATATCTTTTTTTTTTTGAGACAGAGTCTTACACTGTCGCACAGGCTGGAGTGCAGTGGCGCAATCTTTGCTCACTGCAACCTCTGCCTCCTGGGTTCAAGCAATTCTCCTGCCTCAGCCTCCCAAGTAGCTGGGATTACAGGCGCCTGCCACCACACCTACCTAATTTTTTGTATTTTTGGTAGAGATGGGGTTTCACTATGTTGGCCAGGCTGGAAAATATACCATCTTAACCATTTTTAAGTGTATAGTTTGGTAGTGAGTTCAATCACAGTGGTGTTCAACCAATTTCTAGAATTCTGTTCATCTCGTAAAACTGAGGAGGTGTACTCATTAAGCAACTCCCATTTTCCCCTCCCCTCAGCCCTTGGTAACTACCATTCTTTTCTCTCATTTTTTTAGAGACAGGGTCTTATTTTGTCATGCAGGCTGCACTGCAGTGGTATGATCATGGCTTACTGCAGTCTTGATCTCCCAGGCTCAAGTGATCCTTTCGTCTAAGCCTCCCAAGTATCTGGGACCACAGACGAATGCCACCACATCCAGCTAATCTTTTATTTTTTGTAGAGACAGGGTCTCTCTATGTTGCCCAAGCTAGTTTCTTTCTTTTTTTTTTTTTTGAGATGGAGTTTCGCTCTTGTTGCCCAGGCTGGAGTGCAATGGCGCGATCTCAGCTCACCGCAACCTCCGCCTCCTGGGTTCAGGCAATTCTCCTGCCTCAGCCTTCTGAGTAGCTGGGACTACAGGCACACACCACCATGCCCAGCTAATTTTTTGTATTTTTAGTAGAGACGGGGTTTCACCATGTTGACCAGGATGGTCTCAATCTCTCGACCTCGTGATCCACCTGTCTCGGCCTCCTAAAGTGCTGGGATTACAGGCGTGAGCCACCGTGCCCCGCTGCCCAGGCTAGTTTCTAACTCCTGGGATCAAGGAAACCTCCTCCTGCTTCCGATTTACCGAGTGTTAGGATTATAGACTGGAGCCAAGGCACCTGACCTTTTTTTCCTATCACTATGAATATGACTACTCTTGTAACTTCATATAAGTAGAATTATACAGTATTTGTCCTATTGTGACTGTGCTTACTTCACTTAGCTTATGTGTACAAGTTTCATCTATGTTGTAACATGTCAGAATTTCCTTCCTTTTTTTTTTTTTTTTTTTTTTTTTGAGATGGAGTTTCGGTCTTGTTACCCAGGCTGGAGTGCAATGGCGCGATCTTGGCTCACCGCAACCTCCGCCTCCAAGGTTCAGGCAATTCTCCTGCCTCAGCCTCCTGAGTAGCTGGGATTACAGGCACGTGCCACCATGCCCAGCTAATTTTTTGTATTTTTAGTAGAGACGGGGTTTCACCATGTTGACCAGGATGGTCTCGATCTCTTGACCTCGTGATCCACCCGCCTCGGCCTCCCAAAGTGCTGGGATTACAAGCTTGAGCCACCACGCCCAGCCTCAGAATTTCCTTCCTAAGGCTGAGGAATATTTATTATATTTATATGCCACATTTTCTTTTCTGAGACGGAGTTTCACTCTTGTCACACACACTCGTGTGCAATGGCATGGTCTCGACTCACTGCAAACTCTGCCTCCCAGATTCAAGCGATTCTCCTGCCTCAGCCTCCCGAGTAGCAGGAATTACAGGCGCCTACCACCACGTCCAGCTAATTTTTTGTATTTTTAGTAGAGATGGGGTTTCACTGTGTTGGCCAGGCTGGTCTCCAACTCTTGACCTCAAGTGATCCACCTACCTGGGCCTCCCAAAGTGCTGGGAATACAGGCGTGGCTGGAGCCACAACGCCCAGACGCCCAGCCTTTCATTTTTTAATTTTTTGAAATGGGAGTCTTGCTCTGTCACCCAGGTTGGAGTGCAGTGGCGTGATCTCAGCTCACTGCAACCTCCACCTCCTGGGTTTGAGCAATTCTCCTACCTCAGCCTCCCGAGTAGCTGGGACTTACAGGTGTGCGCTGCCACGCCCAGAAAATTTTTGGTTTAAGCCTGAGGTTTGGGGGCCTTGGCTAACACGGGAAGGAGGAGTGCTTGTATTTTGGTATAGACAGAGTTTTACTATGTTGGCCAGACTGGTCTGGAACTCCTGACCTCAAGTGATCCGCCCACCTCGGCCTCCCAAAGTTCTGAGATTACGGACGTGAGCCATCACGCCCGGCCTATATACTACATTTTGCTTATCCATCTCCCAATGGACACAGGTTACTGAATAATGTTGCTATGAACAAACCTATACAAATATACGGAGACGCTACTGTCATGGTATGGTGCTTTTTGGACAGGGTAGACAAAAGCATTCTCAGCTACTCAAAGGAGGTGGGAAGCAAGTAGCTGTATATTGTTTTCAATTTCCCAGGGGACCTGATTCTACTGTCCTGTTCCTATGTCTTGTGATATATTTTATTGGGGATTCTATCTGTTTATGACCCAAGAGTTGTGTACATTCTGGTCTCTTCCAGAGACATCAGCCTCTACACTCGAGTTTTGCTGCCTTCTAGGAATACTATCCTCTATTAGGAGTTCATCGGCAGTAAATTCAGGCCAGGCTGAAGATGGCTGCTAGAAACCCAATCAAGCCCTTGAGTTTTCTCAAAAGAGATGGCACTCCATACAGTACCTCCTTCTCCTAAATAAAGCCCCTGTATTCTAGAGACAATAACAGATTAATAAACGGTTTAGGGTCTAACCCTCTCCACACCCGCAGATTCCTAGGCTACACTCCCTTCCCCCGCCTCCCCGATACCCCGCCTCCCCGATACCCCGCCTCCCCATACCCCGCCTCCCCGATACCCAGCCTCCCCATACCCCGCCTCCCCATACCCCGCCTCCCTCATTCTGGCAGCTCTGACCAATCTCAGCCATCTTAGCTTTCCCAAGTGCTCCTCCTTCCCGTATCAGCCAACGCCCCCATACCTCAGGCTTAAACCAACTAGGGAACTTTCCAGTACTTTCCCAAACAAGGACCTACTGGGCCTTGCAGGTTCCGGATCAGATTCCTACTGGCTCACCTAGTCTTGCGACGCCTTCGCTTCACTTTGGAAACGTTCAGATTATGGAGCCTGGCGAGGAGGTGGGAGCTCCCTCAATATCAAACTGCACAGCCGGCGTCCCCCCACCCCCCACCCCGCCCCTCACTGCAAATTTGAGCCGGCTCCAACTCAGTCATCTTATTCCAAACTGGCCCATGAGGTCAGAAAAAGCGTCTCCATTGTAACGTGGCTGGGCGTCGTCAACACAAACGCCCCCACCCTCCCCTGGATGCACGTCACCCGCTCCCCTCACCATCCCCCGGCCCACAACTGCGCAGGCCCAGGAAGCCCCCCAAAATTACAAACCCAGGGCCGACCCTTTCTGTCAATTAGACGCGGAAGGGCAGGCGGCCCGCATCGCCCTGGAGACCAACACCCTTCCCACTGCCACTCCCCTTTCTTCTCAGGGCCCTGAAGAATCTGGAGAGTTCTGAGCAGGAGGCGGCACCCTGGCCACTGATTGGTCCAAGGAAGGCTGGGGGCAGGACGGGAGGCGAAACCCCTGGAATATTCCCGACCTGGCAGCCTCATCAGCTCGGTGATTGGCTCAGAAGGGAAAAGGCGGGCCTCCGCTACGACCTATAAAAGCCCAGGGGCGCGCGGTCCTGAAAACCGCCAGACTCAGAAGCGGGTGCCATACCTTGTTGCGGTTTCCTATAGCTACTCCCGCGATCCCAAGGCTTCCCACAGCGAACCTGTGCAGCTCTAGGCAGCGGCGCAAAGACTTTCCGGCGTCCGGAAGGAGCGAGCTCTCGT